ATAAAAACAACTGTCACTGTCTCCCCCTTGCAGGCAAATAAGGGTATTTTTTGAAACAAAGGTCTTACTGGAATTTTCTCCTATTTCTCGAAGAACTTAATTGTAGATGGGACTGAAACTGAATAGTTAGTTTGAAACCATATGTTATGCGAAACTTACAATTTGTCAGGACGCTATGTAATATCCAACTTATCACAAATATATGTGCTAATGTATTATGTAATACACAAAGAGCTTCAGTTGATGGATTCCTCACATAAGTTTAATAGATATCTAACTTATCATAAATATATAACGTTATTGACATTCATGTGGGTCAAACCACATGAGATAAGATGATAATTTTTTTTTTTTTTGAAAGGGAACGATATATTGCATTCATAAATCAAGCACAAAGGCTAAAAGCCATGAAGGCCAGTACAAGATCAGTAACGGTTACACATACCCATATAAGGTTAAGACATACACCAGTCATGGCCACAGAAGGCCAGAGAGGAAGCGGTAGAGACACCGCGAGTAACTCCCAAACAGGGATAGTACAAATGTGGACAGTAGTCCAGAGGGGAAGGACACCGATAACATCGGGAACTCCAGTCATGGCCACAGGAGGCCAGAGAGAAAGCGGTAAAGAACCCGCGAGCCAGGAAAAATCCGGCATAGAACCCATAACCGCCTAAAGCCAAAAGCCTAGGCACTCAAACTACAGATGCAACAAACGTAAACTCTCACAAGTAAAAACCCGAAGAGACAGCACAACTCTCACAAGTAAAATACCCGAAGAGACTGTAACAAGCAGCAACTCAAACGAGTTGAAGCACAAAAAACAACAAGAAACTGCAAATACAAAGAAAACCGCACAGCAAGCTCTTCAGCACCAGGCAGAGCAGACCCAAAACGACCAGGCCGATGGGCAGTCCCCAGGGGCGAAAAGATCGGGGAAGATCGGAGCAGGAGCACCAAAATCAGAGCCGCCACCGTGCAGACCGCCGATGGAACAAACCAGAAAACCACAAACCCACCAAGATCAGCCACAGAAACTGTAGAAAAGAGGGCAAGGGGAGATCTGGACCAAAATCAAACTAGAAATAAAACAAGAGAAAAAGTGCGTGAAAAAAGAAAAAATCCCAACAGAGGGAGAGAGAGAGAGACGAAAGAGAGGAGGGTTAAGAGGAAGGAAAGGGAGGGGAAACGGAAAACGGGATGGAAATAAAAGATGGCCACCAACCCCCAAAGGGGCGGCGGCTGAGCTTTCACAGAGAGAGAGTTTTTCTTTCAGCTAGGGTTTTTTTTTCTCACTGCAAGAGATGCAGTTATATATTGCTTTGTTTGCAGGGAGCATTTTTACTCACCACTTTAACTATAGGTGTACCCTCACCACCATCCTCAATGCTTGACACGTGTCCATAGGTGTAATCATGTTTCCATAAATACAAAGCAAAAGTTAACTATAGTTATGTCTATGGACACGTGTCAAGCATTGAGGATGGTGGTGAGGGTACACCTGTGATTAAAGTGATGAGCAAAAATGCACCATTGTTTGCATTTCTAGGGGCCCACCCACTCTGAACATTAGAAAAATCTAAACCCCCGAAGCATCCAAGTTTGACCTCCAAAACAACCCAATATTGTATCCCTTTCCTTGTTTGGTTCGGTTTTAACAATTACTGTCTGGAGAAAGCCAGCTCCATTAGTCATATTAGTATCCATCATCAGTCCCAATTGGAGAAAACAGGGTGGACATAGGGAAAAGGGAAAAGGAAACAATGCAAATTTGGACTCGTCTAATTTTCCTGCTTTCCTGTTATCTTTCTAATTTATTGACACATATTCCTGCACTTTAACTTCTAACTGTTCTTTTTAATTATTTAAAAGAGAATAAAAAATAACAGCCACGATCATAACCCTTTGGGTGAAGAGATATTAATTTATTCCAAAAGCCTTTGATGAAGATATATTAATTCATTTTGGCAAAAAAGGAAAGAGTATTTAATATTCACTTTGACTAAAAAGAAAATGGGGTTTAATGATTAGGAAAGAAAAAACAATGACATTGTCTCATCTTTTATCCCATCAAATAGGTCTATGTATCATTTATCCCTTACCCTACCTAGGTCTATGCATCATCATTTCATCAAATTAATTTAATTAAAATTAAATAGGACACATACATGCTAACATGCATGTAGCAAAAAATCAAACGGGTTACGGATATTGTAGCAATGTGGATCTTTTCTTTGAATAAATCATTGCACCACTTCATTATTTAGAATTTTTTATTTTTTTAAAATTCCCCCCATCTTCCACCAAAACCGAACAGCCTCAAGAGCCGCCAGGCACTCAACATGTTCCGCAGAACTAGCAAATAGCACACGCTTCGCAAGGGCTGCCAGAAATCTCCCATTTTCATCCCTAATGACAATCCCAACACCCCCCCCAGTCGACCCAATGTGGAAGGACCCGTCGAAGTTGATTTTGATCGTGCCTGAAGGAGGGCAGCTCCAGCAACTTGCACCCAGAGAGGCATGACTACCCGTAGGTTGGTCATTAGCACACCGGAACTCCTCCATATATAGGAGCACAAACTGAACGAGATCATGCGGCTGTCGCTGCGTGCTACGCCATGTAACATCATTCCGGTTAGACCACAAGGCCCACATCACAACCATGGACAAAGCACGAGCATCGGACGTCAACTCACGCCAAGAGATGAAAAGCCAATCTGGTAAGGGTAAGTCAGCGATAAGCACATGTCCTTAGATATGCCTAACTTGGTCTGAGATAAGATGATAATTGTAACTAATTCATTTGGCTACGGTGTACCCCGTACGGCAGCAGCACTAAAAACTGGCTCTCTGAAATGCCATTGTTCCACTCAATGTCTAAAAAATCGTTTTTTTCACCTGCCGACAATCCGGGAACAAACCAAACAATTTCGTCAGAATATCGATATTGTCGCCGAAATTGTCGCCGATATATCGAGCTCGATATTATCGAGCAACTTCAACACAAAACCGTATAAATATCTCGATATTATCGAGAATATCGACGCGATATGTTGACCCGAAAAAACTTGAAAAATGCTGAAGGCGCGGAGAAGGCGTTGCAAGGCGTTGAAAGGCGGAGTGAGGCGGAGCAAGGCGCGCCTGATCTGGACACTCTGAAGCGGAAGAAATTTTGCGACTCTGTAAATTTTGGTGCGGCTCTGCGAAGAAGACGACTTCGCGAGGAGGAAGACGACTCAGTCTTTTTTTTAATTATTAGGTTTATTGTAATGAAACGACGTCGTTTCGATTGAAGTGTTCTAAAAAAAACTTAAAGTGAAACGACGTCGTTTCACTTGGAGGGTTTTAAAAAAATGAAAACACGCTTTGTTGTTTTTTTTTTCCCTTCCCTTTATTGTAATAAACCTAAGGCAATAATTAATATCTTGCCTATTCTATATTAATATATTAGCTTTTCTACTTAGGGCCAGTTTGACATTGCTGTGCTGTAAAAATAATCGCTGTTAGATTTGCTGTGAGAGAAATCAGCTGTGAGAGAACACAGTTTGGCGTTTGGTAAACTTTTTGTTAGAAGTGTTGTTGGTATAGATTCCCGTATAATCAAAAAATAATTGCTGCATAATCATTAAACCCAGCGCCTCTTTGAAACTGATTCATGTATAATCAGAAAATGAAAGCACATTATTAGCTGCTTTCCCAAATAGCTTTCTCTCACAGCAATTTTTAACAATAAGTGATTTTCTCATAGTTTACCAAACGGGTTGGGCTTCCCAAATTTTTTTTTCAAATCACTTATTACCCCAAATAAGCAATACCAAACGGGCACTTACCCTTTTTGAGCATTCATATTAGCTTTTCTACGTTCAATAATTAATAACTTTTTTTTTTCCTTCCCTTAGCTTTTCTACTTACCCTTTTTGTTTTTTTTCCTAAATTAATATATTAACACATGGAATTATATATATTGTATAGTACAACCCTAATTTCTAACATTATTAGATAATCTCCATCAATTTCAAGAATTCTCTTCATCTTTCGACTGCAAGTAAGTTATTTTATTTCTCTCTCTAATTCTTCGCAGCTGTAATTTGAAGTTCCTTATAATTTTTTTTCAATTTTTTTAAAAATATATTAGTTATCTTATTCGTTTATGTGATATAGTAGAAATTCGACGTACATACATCATACTTGTACTTATATTTAAAAGATTGATATGGTTCAATAAGAATTAGTTGTACAATTTAATTGTATTGTATTATTCATGAATTTTTTTTGCAAGAAACAAATTGTTTTGAATTCTTTTGACCATATATCTTACCATGCATTGTATAAAGTGTAAAATATTATACTAATTCATTATTTATAAATGATTATGGTGTATTTAATCTTTTTTCATTAATTACTACATATTTTCTACACTCACAGTGTTTGCCAGCTCGCTATATAATCAACTTAAATAAGTTAAATCCATCATGCAATGCATTTCCTTCCAATTTTTTTTAGGATAAACTAATAGATAATTGACTAAATAAACATCCTGCAAAGTTTCAATAAAAATTTCCAAGTTTTTCTTACAATTTCCGTGGTTTTTATTCAATTTTTATCGATATCGATAATATCCCGATATTTCCATCGAAATTTCCGTGTTTTTGGCCTAGCGATATTTCCGATATCACCGATATTTTAGACCTTGGTTCCACTACATTCGGCTACGGTGTATCATGTATGGAAACACGCCTGTTTGAGTTGCAGCACAAGCTATATCATCAATTTTCTAACATCGTAACAAATGCTGCCCTGCATAGGCAGGCACCAAGTTGATAGCTCACGAAAATGACTCGTGCTTTGAAAGTGAGAGTTTGTGTTGCACTTTCCTGCTCTGTTGTCCATGTTTCCAACTGCTAAACGGGCCTAGTCTTAGCTGTTGTCTTTCCAACATATTACACCAGTTCATCACTGCAACTCTTGCCGCTTTATCAGTTGTGCATTTTAATGTGGCGAAAGTTAACACCCCATCTGGTTTGAAGTGTTTGTAAAAAAGCGGCACAGCCATCACGTAAGACCTGAGATTTGATAAAACATTTTATAACCCACGAACAAGGTCAATCTGATATAAATTCATATGACTAGGAGTCCAGGAGTCCCAAACGTAAAGTGAACAACAAAATTCGCGAGAGAGAGGATTAAAAAAAAAAAAAAACTCACCGTCTTTTGACTGCTGAAAGGATCATAGCCTGTGTCCATACCAGATTGAACAAGCACATTGCATCACAACCCAACCATTCACTACTACTCACAATTCCTCTGTTGAAGGACCATTAAAGCAACTTGTAACATCTGCCTAGCCTTCCTATCTGGAGTGCATCCTGCATGTTCCATTTCCTCGTAAACCTCAGGGACCTGATCAGGAAACCACTTGCATTTGGAGAGATTTAGAATAGAAAACAAGCTTCCTACTCTCTTATTCATCATAGCTCAAATTAAATTTTAAAGTTCATGAAGAATATATAGCACCTTATCAAACTTCCTTGCCCGAATATATGCCTTCATGAGGGTAGTATACGTAACCACATCAGGGCTAAAACCCTTCAGAAACAACAAAACCATCACCATTAGCAACTCAGCAGGCAAGTACCACGAGAGAACTGTATTGGTTGAAGAAATTCAATGTATCTGAAAAAGTTATCACCCGCAACTAGACAAGTTTTATGCAAAAACAAGACTCACACTTTCTTTTATATGGTGATAAATGGATAAAGCCTCGAAATGTCTACCAGCAACACCGAATGCATTCATCAGCACATTCAGCATTATGACATTCAGTTCAATTCCCTCAGCTTCCATGAGCTGAAGTACCTTAACTGTCTGTCCGCATAATCCCTGCATTACAAAAAAAGAATGAGATTATGGGACCAGATGTCCGTGCATTGAGTGAAAACAACTTGGAAGGGGCAGAAAACCTGCTGAGCGTAGGCATTTGCTAAGACGCAAAACATGCTGGCTGAAGGAATAAGACCTTCCGCCTTTAGGGCAGATATACACTCTTCTGCATCCTTAAATTTTCCATATTGCCCATAAATATCAACCAAAGCAGCATAAATGGTCCCACTTTTCTTATGCCCTCGGCTTTTCATATTCTCAAAAGTCTTCTGTATCATATCCCACTTCCCCTGCTCCCCCAGTCGGCTGATAACGGTGACAAAGATCTTTGGATCAGGATATAACCCCTGTTCCTGCATCTCAGTTAACAACTCAAGTGCCTTACTTATATCACCAGCCTTACAATGCCACCGTATCAAGGAATTAAACGTCGTTATATCAGCCTTTACACCTTCTTGTTTCATTTTCTCAAACACTTCCAAAGCTTCATCCACCTCACCATATTTCCCAAATGTATCAATAACGCTGTTGTAAATCTGTTTGTCTAATGCCATCCCCATCTCCCTTATCTCACCCACAATGTCCATTGCTTTCTTCCACATTCCATTATCCCTGTAAAGACCAATAACCTTACTGTACACAAATGAGCTTAGCCGAAACCTCTTCCGCTTCATCTCATTAATCATTGACCAAGTATCTTCCAACCTCCCAGCATTGACATAGTAATCAAGAAGAATCTCATATGTCTCTTGATTTTTCTCGGCCCCCAAATCACCCATTACCGCCATAACTCTAATTGCCAGTCCTAAGAGGCCTTTCTTCAAAAACCCTCTGAGCAAAACATTGTAAAGCTTAATTCTTGGCCTAAACCCAAAAGATATCATTTCCTGAAACAACATATCAGCCTCCAAAGTCCTGCCAGTACTTCCAAGAGCGTCAATCAAATGAGCGTAAGAGATTGAATTAGGTCGAACCCCAAGAGCTTCCATTTCAGCAAGAAGAGCCATGGCCTTGTCAATTTGCCCTGCTCTACAAAAATCACTTATCAAATGGTTGTATGACTCACCAGAGAGTTCCTCACCATTTGGGCAGTTAGTAGTTGCAAGGTTTTGATCAGTTAATGCTATAAATTTGACTTCTTTCACACCCTTTCTGCGCTTTGAGTGAGTGAAAGAACCATGGAACTTGTATGTATCAGAGTATTTGAGACAACTTGAGCACAACAAAGGGAGAGGAGTGAAGGCACCTGTAGATGAAAGTGAAGGTGACTTGCGACCCAAAATGGACTGCATCAGCATCTCTATCTATACAAGGCGCTTCAGGCACTGCTTTTTTGCTTTGTGGAATGACGATGATTATAATTTGACAATTAACGGGAAAAAAAGGTGGAGTTCAGAATTAGAATAAGATGACTGACACTGGAGGCTGACCCAATCAGGCGAGCCCACTTTGCAGGCCAAACTCAAACCCAAGTGTGCTGGCCCAATCACAAGCCCATTTGAAAGCTTCCCAAGTCAAACCCAAGTGTCTAGACGTGCCAATGGTACCATTCGACATGGAATGGAAAGGTGCCAACGGAATTTAGCTCAATGGAAAATTGCATTGATTTACATATTAGTAGTTTCAAGTTCGAACTTTTATGGCATCTTGGCAATGTGTGTATATGAGGACAATACGTTTAGGCTCTGTTTGGTTCATGGGAATGGAAATGAGGCTTGGGGATGAGAAATCAATTGCTTTCCCAGAACACAGGTAACATGTTCTTCTTCTTTTTTCAAGGCTCCACACTCCACAAGAATATCATCACCCTTTTCTGCAAAATCTGTTTTCTTTTTGGTTAGTATATAATTGAAACTTCACTGAAAGACAAAGCTAATACAACCACCAGCAGAAACAAAGGTAGCAAGGAAATTACACCATATAAATAACAATAACTAGAGGGAACCAAGTCTCCCAACAACAAGAACGCACATTCCACTTTAATCCAGCACATACACAAAATCATTATGAAGAAGATCTTAAAGAAGAAGAAAACGTAAGTTATACCCAACCTTGTTGTGCATATTCTTCAAGTAATTTCTTATATAATTTGCTAGTAAAACGAAAACGTAAATAAAATTTTGAGCCATCTTCCTGTGTTGGGCTGGGCCTTAATGGGCCTAAGCTTGGCCAATTGATTTTTAAGATCGAAACTGAGGGAAAGGGCAGGGCCCAAGACTGCAGACCCAATACGAAAAGAGACTCGGGTTTTCTATCAGCCATTATAAAACCCAAGAAACCCTAGCACACACAGTCATTCTTGCAGCCGCGAGAGAGAGAGAGAAAGAGGAGGATTCATCTGCATTTTCCTCGGCGGCGATTTCAGGTTTGGTTTTCCCTCACTATTCTTTCCCCCTGTTTGTTTCTATAGAAGATTTATGACTACTCGGCGTCTCATGTCAATTGCTTCTTTCGTTCCATGAAAGACAAAAAATGATGGCCATAACCGAGCTTCTGAGTTTTAAGCAAGCTTTTGTTTAATGTGTTTTTTGGGTTCTCAAGCGTAGAAATAGATGTTTGAATTAGCTAGTGCTTAGATCTGTAGCGTTTATTATTTCTTAGAAGGTGCAGCTTTTTTCTTTATATCTGTTTGGATATGTCTTGCATTTTCTGCACTGTGGCAGAATATAGACGATGCGTCTATTTTATTATAACTTTTATGAATCTGCTTTTTTGGGTATTTATTTGTTCTTAGCGCTCTCAGAAGAATCTATATTGCATTTTTTGTTCGTTGTATGACTTGTGCACATTGAAGTTAATTCCGACTTATGTGACTAGTTTACAGGTAAGCCATGGTGAAGCACAACAACGTTATCCCTAGCTCCCACTTCAGGAAACATTGGCAGAACTATGTCAAGACCTGGTTTAACCAACCTGCCAGGAAGACCAGGAGAAGAACTGGTGGGTAACAGTGTTTTTTCTATCACCTCTCGTGTTTCGTTGTTTTACATGTAATTTATAAGTTGACTTGAGTATTTCTGAAATGTCATCAGCTCGCCAAAAGAAGGCTGTCAAAATCTTCCCTCGCCCTACTGCTGGACCTCTCCGTCCAATTGTCCATGGACAGACTTTGAAGTATAACATGAAAATTAGGGCTGGTAGGGGCTTTACTTTGGAAGAGTTGAAGGTGAGTTTATTGATTTTACCACAATGCTATGACCTTTGGCGTTTCTGCTATTTCTTATTGATTGCTGATATATTTGATCCAAGGACCATTGAACTTTTGCTCATTGGCTTGCTCTGTGTTTTCCACTTTGAATTTATGAAAAATGTACTGTAGATTTTGTCCAGCTTGTATTTTAGGAGTTTCTTGAAGTTCATTACAGGCTGCTGTGTTATAAAAATAAATAAGTAACCTTGTTTCTCGCTTTTTTGTATGATGTTTTACCAGTCTGCTGGGATACCAAAGAAACTTGCACCAACCATTGGGATTGCAGTTGATCATCGTAGGAAGAATCGTTCTCTTGAGGGTCTTCAAGCTAATGTGCAGCGACTGAAGACATACAAGGCCAAATTAGTTGTCTTCCCAAGACGTGCTGGAAAATTCAAGGTGATGTTAAATGGTTGATTGGATTAGTGTAAGAATGTTTATTTGCTGTCTGCATGATATCTCATCTGATGTGTATTCTTTTTTTGGCTACAGGCTGGTGATTCTGCCCCAGAGGAACTTGCTAATGCCACACAGCTCCAAGGTTCCTACCTGCCAATTGCACGGGAGAAGCCTTCTGTTGAGCTTGTGAAGGTTACTGATGATTTGAAATCATTCAAGGCATATGACAAACTCCGTGTTGAAAGGATGAACCAACGTCATGTAGGTGCCAGGCTTAAGAAGGCAGCAGAGGCTGAGAAGGAAGAGAAGAAGTAGAGAGAGCCTGGACCCTTTGAATGAGCCGTTAAAATTTGGTTTTGTTTTTTAAGGTGTTTCATTTTAGGTTTTGATCTGTTTACTGGACATGACAATTTTAGAGTTTGTAATGTCACTTAAGTTCGTGGAAGTTAAAGATTTTATGGTTATTAAAGCTTCTTATTTGATTAATGCGGATGGTTTTGTAATTTGGTTTATCTTATGTCACTTGGTTTCAATTGTAAGGCTAAAGCATTTGCATTGACCTCATGACTTACGTAAAAGGAAGGTACTTTAATGCTATGCTCGCGTTGGTTGATGGAGTATCCAGAGTTTGTCATCTCAATTTCGCTTTTCAGAATTGCCTGATGCCTTTAGTTGTTTCCGTTACGAAGTTGGGACAAGACTGTTAACCAAAAGAGTCGTCCCCAAGGCTGCGTTTGTCTATAACCGCTCCCAGTTAGATGCAGTTACCATAAAATGAGACGTGAAAGTACATCAGGCAGGACGTTTAGGTTGCTATACGCAGTGGTTTCGTTTCCTTCAAGTATTTGGATCCAAGTCCGCTTCAATTGTTCATTCACATCATCAATGATCAAACGGTGCAATCCCAAATCACATAATCTGTCCGCAAACTCAAAACCCCATTTAATTACAAAGATGGAACAGCAACACTTACGACTAAGTTTAATGTTTCTCTTTCAAAAACTACAAAAGAAAAAAAAAATGGTTGTTTCAAGGTTTCTTCTTCATAGGACTTCCAAATCTAATACCAAACACACCAAGAACCATCAGTTTTACGCTTAAGATGGAGAGGATGGAGAACACGTCCTAACCAAATGCTTTCAGCAATGAAACTTCCAGATTGACAATGTGCAAATAATGCTGCAAATGCTCAGTAGTTAGTATCTCGCTTTTGTTCTGCACTCAATGCTTCAATGCCTGACAAAAAATTTGTTGTTAGCAAGCCGGTTTCAGGATGTTAAATAACTTAAGAAATTAGTTCCCCCCCATATACAATAGTTATCATTGCCAGATACCTTACTGAAACTTGGAAAGGAAGAACATATCAAGCATAATTTAGTTCAGAGTTCAACATCAAATAACTCCCTAGTTCCTGATACATCAGTAGTCCACAAGACATACTGTCATGAATTACTAAGGGTTTGGTTAACTTCAACCACGGGATAGCTGTAAAAATGCAGCTGAGTGTTACCTAAATTTGACATGTTTAGATTCCGGGTGTTTGCGCACTTTGGCCACAAGTATATAAGAAACTTCTAGGCAGATTCTTCTTTTCTTATTTTAACCTAAATTCGTTCGTGATCTAACATATTCAACTGAACATCTTGACTAACAGATTGTAAGGAAAGTTTTCGGAAGTTATACCTGAGAAGCCATAATCCATGTTCTATCTATCCAATCTTGGCGTGGTCTCAAATCAGAGTGCTCAAACAGCAATTCATCTTTTGTACCTTTGAAGTAAACTCTGTACCTTGGCCCACGAAGGACCTTGCGGATCTCACCTTCCCACCATCCATCATTATAGAAAGCATCAACCTCTTCGTTCAGACTAAAACTTTCAACCACAACAGTTTCAGGTGGACAAGGCCTTATGTGCTGTGCATCGACCTCTTCTGTCAAGAACTCTTTACCATCATTTGTTTTTATGCTCATATATCGAATGAGAAATTTGTCCTTACCCATTACTTTGACAATATTTGCAGCAAACCAAGCACCTTGAAATCCATCTTCATCAGTGCAAATCTCAACTTGTGTTCCTTGTACAAAGTCCTCTTTCATCCGAGGCTTTGGTTCCTTGGTATTTGAGACATCCTGCAGTCCAAGTTTTGAGGAATTTGCATTTCAGTTAAAATAAGATAGAGGAAATCCACAAAATAGGAGATAAAACTAGATAATGAAAAAAGTAAATGATCATATCAAATACACTGTACATGTTCAACTATTAAACAAGACATCAGAAACATTTGGTTGCATCTTACAAGGTTTTTGAAATTGACCATTCAACCTTTAAACTCATTTGGAGATAATTCACAACATGTAATAATTGTCTAACCATTGATATAACTTCCTTAATCAAAAGAGAAGGCCAACAAACATTTTCTTTTCACTTGGTTGCATCTGACAAGGTTTATGAAATCGACCTGTTCAACCTTTAAACTCATATGATTCAGACTTCTTTTTTATTTTATTTTTTAAACATGAATAATCAAAGGAAAAAGTAGAAATCTACCACTCTTTCTCAACAGCAAGAGGGCAAAAGACCGGTCTTAAATCTTTCATACATTCTCAGAATCAAGCAATCCAATCTTCTAATCCAACATAAGCTATCTGTCAAGGAAGGAGGAGACTGGCCAACAGATCAAGCAAAATGGGAGGAAATACAAGGTTCGTATACTCTCCCAAAGAACAGCAAAGCAGCTAACGGGGTATTTGGCACTAAACATGGTTTTCAGGAAGTCTGTCATGAATATGCTACCTCTTTCTCTGTCGATCATTCTCGACTAAGATCAAGTTTTCCACAATTCAATAACAATAACATTGGTTTTTCTCCTTATCCCCTGACTATAGTCCCATGAAACTAGTTCAAAGGTCAGCTGATCACTGGTCCTCAGAATCCCAGCTCAAGCCAAATGGAAGAAAAAAAGTAGAAAGGAAAAGAAAAGGCTCTTTACAATATGCGCATATATTATTTTAAAGCAGAACAGAACAGAACAGAACACCCCTAAATTTTCATACTAGGAAAATACATACCCATATTACGAAATAGATAATGGGAAAAGCACGTAATAACAAAAGTTATTCATTCTTCAGGCTTTAAACCAAAACAAAAACCAAATGCTTCTTATATCTCCTATCCGGTAACAAAACAATCATAGAGGGCAAATCATCACAGAAAATCCCAAAATTAATATTATCCCTTGAATTGATTAATGGCACACCAAGAAAAAAATAAAAATAACAAAGGCAATCAAGAAAAAGGCGATTCATTACTTACGCCTTGCTGAAGAGGTGGAAGCCAAGAGCCCTTGACCCACTCCCGGTGAAGCCTGAGCTCCTCCGACTCAAACTCAAACTTCTCCTTGGCAAACCGAAAATAAACCCCAAACGTCGAGTCCTTCATAACATCAGTGATGACTCCCTCCCACCACCCGCCACAGAACAAGGCATCAACGACGTCGCCTAACTTGAAGCAGCAGTACTTATTTTCTTGGGGCGGCAAGGGCCTTATGAGCGCCACGTCCACCTCTTCCTCCACCTCATTGCGCTGCTGGTGCCTCTTCCTCCTGCTGAACTTGCCATCAATCTTGGCCTTCACTTTGTTATATTCAACTTTCAACTTGGTTTTATCTCTCGACTTGCCGATGATTTTTGCCGGGAACAGCGTGCCACGCATATTGTGGATTGGACTAGTCACCTCCACCTCGTCGCCAATCTTAAAATTGGAGCCAACCATTGAAGCTCTCTCTCTCTCTCTCTCTCTCTCTCTCTCTCTATATATCAGGGCACCGCCTTCGCTTTAGGGCTTTTCTCTTATTTTTCTTCTCAACTCAAGGGGTTCGTTCGCATCAAGTACAGTAAAGTAGCAGATAGATACAGGTGGAAGATGAAGCGTTGGGGAGGGTGGGTCCATCAAACCAAAAGCGGGTCTTTTCTTCATTTACACGTAGCTTCTAATTCCAGTTATAAAATAATTTTGTTTTTTTTCTTTCAATACTTGTTATGGTTTTATGATTTTGGATTAAGGCACTATAATATAGACTACACACTGATTGAAGAAATGTGACCCGAAAAGTGAATATCTTTTTGTTTTTGGCCAGAAAATGTTTATGATCAGCTTATCCCGCTCAGAAAAATTAATTCATAAAATGATATAAAAACCAACTTCTTCCCTCTCAGAAAATTGAAATGACCAGATTAATAGAAGGCCAAAACTGGACAAAATTCTCTGTTGCGCGGCATATGTCGGAAACAAAATACACTCAGACAAGAGCTTTCAATGATCAACGTGACATCTAACAATTACTTGAATTACATAATAATAATGTCTTGGATATGCTAGGACCCAGGCTTTCCTCCTGTTGCAAGTCATACGCTCTTCATTATATAACACAGTGCTTTGGTTGGACATTGGCGTTCCCTGCAAGCATGATCGAGTCTTGGATTGCACCATGGCAGCACGGAACACTACTGCCAAACTAAATGCATACAAATTCAATCATATATCTCAATTTAAGATAAGTCAACAAGTTTCTTGCAATTGACTACAATTGAAATACTTACACACAACTGGATAATGCTAGTCTGCAAGCCTTCTTCTTCCTAGAGCTTTTATCGTCTTTCCTCGTGAAGATGACAAATAAGATCCTTGTTTGTATCTTAATAATTAGGCCTCCGCCCAAAAAGTACATAACATTTCTTCCTTTTTTTAAAAAGCACGCAGCAAACAAAACCTTTGGAGTACCATGAAACATTGAGCAACACCAACTCTTCAGATTACCATGGAAGTTAATCAGAAGATTCACTTTCAAGAGCTGGAATTCTGCGGAAACGTGCAAAGTAACGTGAATACGACACATCAATTTTATTTGACGACACTGATCTCTTCCGCCTTGCCAAAAACCCTTTCCCAGAAAGTGAATCGTGCAAATCTCCCAGGTCCATCTCTTTCCTGACCCGACCACTTTCAAGTAGAAACCTGGAAATCAACAACAACAAAATTGTAAACGAATCTAAATTGGATGTCAAATATAACTGAAGAGCAGGATATTAAAATCACAAGACAGAAACTATCGCCTTGTAAAGAGTAAAAGCCTTTTAGTGTCACACAATGAACTCTGGTACATGGAAAACCATACCGCTGGCGAATAATTTTAAAAGCTTCTTTTGTTGCATAAGGTAGCCCTGTCTTTGGATCACGGTACCTGCAACATCAAATGAATTCATTAAGCGGACGTATTATACAAGATGGCCAGCTTAACCTAAATAAATTGTATGTTTCCAACACCATCAATCCTCACTCTCCATGGCCACTCAGAACTGCTCTAACATTTATCATCATTTACCTGGCACCACACATTCATTCATCAAACAGCACGCTCATTAGTGCATTGTTTAAGAGGTGGACAATAGCCGTGACAGACTAACAACTAACAATCAATCTTTTCAATCTCTCTCTCTCTCTCTCTCTCTCTCTCTCTCTCTCTCTCTCTCACACACACACACACACACACATATAAGCACTTACTTGGCAGGTAAACCAGTAACTGCACAAACAGCTTTCTCAGGGTCTGGAAATAAAAAGAAATAAAAATACATAAAAACCATTGTTATGAAAAATAAAACATAAATAATAAATCCCTGAGCAACACATTCATCTAAACTATCACTTACAGGGAGCAGTCGTGGTAGAGATTTCAGACTGAAATGATAATCCTCTACTGAATTCCAGATATGAGCAACCTAAAGAAATGTAGTTTTGAAATTTCTTTATCAGAGAATGATATTGCCACAATGATCAAATTTGTGTATGCTAACAATATATATTTTTCAAAAAAGAAAATGAAAAGATCAGAATATTGTAAAGCTGAAAGCTTACCATCTTTTGAGAAATATCGTACTTGCGGGCCAGTATAGACAGCTTTGTGCACAATTGCTCTTTTCTTAACTTCTTCCTCCCTTGCTAGAACACGCTCCAAATTCCTCAAGTTCATAATTTCTGAAGTTTTGCAGGTAACAATTCAAGTTTAGATACAACCAGCTTCAATTTCAAGTAAATATAAATAAGTACCCAGCAATTCAAATCACATACTAATTACGAATATTGAGGCTTAAAGTACAAACCTGTTTGAGCTGCTTCTAAAAGCATCTCTTCTTGGGTCATCCTCTTCTCTTCGCCTTCCTTTTTTCTCTTTATCGGCTAATGTAAAAGAAAATTTATATTCATTAAAAATAGTATGATATGTTAATCAACGCAATGATCTCACAAACAAATAACAGTGGTCTTTAATCAGAATTTGGAGTACATTCAACATCAAATGCTATTGAAAACTGACCTTCATGGTTGCTTGCAAAGCCGCACGTATTGCATCCCTCTCGGCTTGCCTGATAATCACTGAAGTTCTTGAAGATTTTCTCACGATTCTCTCTCCTTCTCCTTCCTCAGGAGCATCGTGATGCTGTTCAGGTTGGGAAGATTTCTCATTTTCAACCTTAGATTCTTTCTCTAATTCCGTTAGCACTTTCTTCTTCTTCTTCTTCTTGCTTGATTGCTTTCCCGGAAATATCAACCGCTTCTTTGTCTGAACTCTGTAATTATAATTCATTGAATTTAACTAAATTCTGAGTAAAAGAAATATAAATGTCATTTGGGTAAGCAAAACTCAACCTTTCCTCTGCCTCGTTGTTATCTTCTCCTTCGTCCGGGTCTGGCTCCTACCAACAATTTAAGCAAGTCTAAGCAAGATAGAACTGGTAGGAAACTAACATTTGAAGTGAACAATCCAAGAAAAAAAACTCACATCTTCGTCGAAGTCACTATCAAACTCGTCAGCAACCTCAGGCTCTGCTTCATAGTTACCATCCTCTTCATCCTACCAGAATATAAAATTCATAAAGGTAACTATAAATATTTGACTAAATTCAGACTTTTTTTTGTTCATGCACGAAAGAAGATGTTACAGTAAAACACACCTCTTTAAGAGCCTCCTGATTCCAGAACATCTCGTCCTCTTCGATTTCCTCATCAAGTAATTTGGTCATTCTGAAAATCGTAAAACGAAAAAATGCTTAAACCTCAAATCAATCGAATTCATTAACCCAGTTATTGAACTTTAGTTACCTCTTCCCTCTGGTGGCGCGAGAGGTACGATCAAGAATCAAAGGCGGGTCATTTTTGGGGGTCTCCATGGCAACCCAAGAGAAATTACAAGGACGAAATTGAAAAATCGATTTGATTTGGATCAGCTGAAATATGCCCTAGCACCCCCGCCAAAGTTTCAATCTCACCTCACTGGTAAACCCTCACCCCACAGCCTAATTAGTAATTCATAGGGGAAGAGAAAGAGATAAATAAAAACGATATGTCGTTCTATTTGTGGCTTATTATAAACAAACGGCATGTCGTTATTATAGATTTTCCAGATAGAGTAGAGTGTCGTGTTGTATTTGAGTGAATTTCAGAAGAAGGAAATTGATCGACGTTGTAGGCTTGGAGCTGGCTCAGCCAAACCGTACAAAGACGAAGCTCGCAGTGCAGTTGAAGTAGAAGTTCTTCGAGAGGCTCTTTCTATCTTTCCTCAAACGCAATCTATCATCTCAGAATGGCCACTACTCTTCGGTGCCCTCAAGCAGTAGCACCACTTCCATGGAGGGCGAGAAGGCCCAACAACAGCAGAGGCACAATCCCAATGGGGCCCCGCCAGGTGTCGAACATCCGGGCCTTCGGGCGAAGCGACATCGGAAGCTTCGCGAGGGACGCGTGGCGGAGCGCCAACGACGGATTCGAGCGGTTCCTATTCGAGGCCAAGAAGACGGCGGAGCGCTTGGACCGCCGCTATGCCCTTTCCCGCCGCTTCGACACTATCGCTCGGTCCGCCGCTGCACGCGCCCGTGAAATTGACAGAGACCTCGAGATTGGGACGCGCTGGCGCGCCTTTAGCATGGATTTTAGCAGAAATTGGCCTAGGGTTTGTTCTCTCGCTTTTACTATTTTGGTCTAATATGCATATGCATATGCATCCGACGTGTCGTTGTGTTTACTGAATTCCTTCATGTTTGGTTGGTGTTTGCAATTTGTGCAGTACAGGAAGCAGCTTAATGATTTCCTGGAAACCCCACTGGGGAGAAGTTTTGCGGTAAGTTAACATTTGCTACAATTGTGTGATGGTCTTCAGTTTATGTTCAACTAATTCAACTTCTTTTTATGTTTTGAATGATTTTGAAGACAATCTTCTTCCTGTGGTTTGCATTATCCGGATGGCTTTTTCGGTTATTGATATTCGCTACATGGGTACTGCCGTTTGCTGCTCCTCTGGTCATTGGAGCAGTTGCCAATAACCTTGTTATTAAGGTATTGCTAGCTTCCTGCTGCTACAAGTTGAATATGTTAATGTTTGTGTTAGTGTTACTGGGTATGGCTCATCATTTTTCATAATTATATTAGTTGCAAGCCTGCAACTAAGCTGAGTGAGTTTTATGGCAAGTTTTACTTTGTAATGTAACCAATTTCTTCATAGGACTAATTGTGTTCGTTGCACCAAATTTGGACAGGGGGCTTGTCCAGCTTGTAAGAGGCAATTTGTTGGTTATAAGAACCAAGTAATTCGTTGTGCAAGCTGCGGAAACACTGTGTGGCAGCCAAAAGGGGACTTCTTTTCAAGAGATGGTAGAGGCCCGTCTTCGTCGAAATCAGAGCCGGAGATTATTGATGTTGAGTTTGAAGAGAAATGAGGAGATACCCAAGTTGTGTGGAAGATCACGCCTGGTAGACTTTTAGATTACATACATAGAGAAAATGCAAGAGTTTTTACTTTTCATTTCAGCTGATATAAAGTCTTGTTCTTGGTTTTCATCTTGTTGTAAATTATGCCTCCTGTATTTTGGAAGTAAGAATTGTTCAATCATGCCAATTGTATATCTTTTGCTCTACTATAGGAAGGTTGAGAAACAAAATACAAGGCCTTTTTGCTGATGACAGAAAAAATCTTTATATTGATAGGCAGTTCTTATGGTCTGCAGTGAATCAAGTTAGTATGAGTGATCAGCAAAAGTTTTGGTGCTCCATGTGGCAGCTTTAAGCGAGAAAATTGGTATGTCTTGAGAAAGAAAATTAAAATTACTGTGCTCTTATTACTTCAATTTTCTGTATTATTGGGCAGCAAGGTACTCTTTTCCTTTTGGCCAAGGGTAGCAAAGGTTGTGTAGCATGGATTTAGCTATGTCAATGTTGTTACTCTGTCAGTATCGAGCAACGAAAAGAAACCGGTCAAACACAAATGCAGATATCCAGTGCAGAAAAGCTCATGAAATCTTATACTTGTGTATTTTGAAGTCATGTTTTTAGAAGAGAATCTCGTATCTCTGTTTGTATACTCCAAGAATCTGCCTTTTGTTGCAGTGTATTGTTGTTTATTGCCATTTTGAGCTTGGTATCATTTTTGTTGAGAAGAAGTTATCTCGTGTGATGATTGATCTATAAGACCAATGCACATGAAATCGAGCAAAAAATAAACACCAGCATTATGCACATGAAATTGATGTATATAACAAACACCAGCATTATACATTGACGAGTTTGAATATTAAAAGCTATAAGCCTGTATAGGTTAGGTTTACATAACATCAATTATGCATCTGTAAGAGATTAGAGATGCTTGACGTCCAAACTAAAGACTGAGTTTCATCTTTAAACAAGAGCTTGATATTTCCATTGTTGCTCCTTAGGCTGATTGAAAGTTTGCCCTGACCCTGAGCTTCCTGGGTTCCCTCCATCACGTGCAAAATCTTGTCTGCAAAGCATTAAGTTTTACTTCACAATTCTAATAAATAAAGAAATAAATAAATAAAAGCGTAGTTCAGGGAAAAGAAAAAGGAAAACAAAATCAGAAGCCTTTGATCTTACATTCCTTTCTTGTGGCTAAGAATCCCAGATGCTTCTTTTGGAGGCTAAGCATGAGCTGACTATGCTTTGAATATATGCAGGCCCACCCGTATGTTCTGCTTCCTGCTTGCACAAACAAGAATCTCTCTTTATTTTTTCATATAACAGCAAAAGCAAAGGTGTTAAATTGAAAAAATCTGTCCTTGCATTTTCTTTTACCAGAAGGAGTGACAACTGATAGCTCGGCTTTTACTTTAAGCAAATTTTGGCTTCTTGGAAAGTAGGCATTGCCCATAGCTCTTGCTTTGAGCGCTGCAACTCCTCTTAAACCTGGCAACTTATCATCGAGTTAGTTAACGTGTGTCATTTATGGGAGAAAAAAAGAAGAAGAGGAGGGCTCATCCGAAGATTATGGTGAAGGAAACATTGATCAAAACATTACATGTTGCAGCAGCAGCTGTAAGTGTGATCATGTCGTCAGTTGTTTGGATAGCCAAGCCGGAGTTGATGGCAGAAGAAACATGAGTTTTCTGTGCACCCAATGACTCTGCGGCTTCAGCACATACCGTGGTAACCAGAGCTGCGGCAGAAGCAACGATGTCACCTATAATGGGGTCGACGTCTTCCGCTGATTCTATGCTGCTGTTCTTGGAGTTGGAAGCAACGCTGGCAATAGCTGCAGCCAAGCGTGTGACAGAAAGGGCTGCATGAACTCTAGCTGTGTGAAGTCGAATATCATCTTTCTTCTTCACTCTCTGCAGTCCGAATATGCTTATTAAGGATTTGCCTCCTAACCATCCCTTTGTGTGCTTGGAGTTCATCTGAGAGAGAGAGAGAGAGATATATATATATATATATATATATATATAGAGAGCTAATTACCCATATCGTGTCATCCACCCTACTGATCATAGGGCTTCTAGTACTAGTTTGGGATGACAACTCATCTATGACTTGTATCTCCAGTTTCTCTTCTGGTTCCCCTGAATTGAACTTGTCTTCCTGTTTCCCTGAGGTCCAGTTGTCATGTGAACCAAACAAGTCCTGTAAAAATTAACGTCATATTTATATGAACTTGAAGACAAGATATACATGATACATGCAAAGTGCCAAGAATTTGAAGACTCTCTCACACTTGATGTAAACATCTGCTGAAAGTTATAGGCTGATGGGCTCCATGAGCGACATAAAAACTCCATGGCATGGACGGGGCTCTGTGGAATCTCCGAAGAGCTGCAGAAAGAAGAAGAAGAAGAAGAAGAAGAAGATGACAACGTTTTTTGTTTTCTCTGTAAGCATTGCTCTGTTCTGTGCCAAGACTCCAGCTTTCCATTCTAATCAACAGTATAATTGGGAAGTCAATTTCTCTTGTTTGTTATTTAAACTTGTCAAGATAAAAGTCTATATGCTGGCTTTAGACTCACTGTGTTAGTTGATTGGTGCTGGGTTTTAAAGGAGACTGATCTGCCTGGCCTAACTGTCCCTGGTAGTTCCTCCATGAGAACTCAAGTCTTTAATCAATGCTACCTGTACAAGAAAATTATATATATAGATATAAGCAAGCCATTTTCGACCAACATTTGATGATTTATATGCATGGGGTTTATGTTTATCTCTTGCATTGCATTAGTAGATTTTTATTCTACAAAACAAAGAAGAGGAATCCGAATGTGAAACAAAAAGGTCAGAGAAGAAGAAGATGAACATAACACAAAGTCACAGTAAAGGTGGCTTCTCTTCTCTCTGTAATACAAAAGAAGGAAGAGTTACTTACTGCTCAGAATAACACAAAAGAAGGAAGAGTTACTTCAATAGGAAAGCTAATGAGAACGCCAGTTTACTTTTTTTTTACTACTTGAGGAAGGTGGCAACTGAGAAACTTGCCCAAATAAGCTTAAGTTATTACTATAAGTAATAAAGCTCCTGGATTTGTGCAATCTGTTTATAACTAGGAACTGGGGTATTTCCAAAAATAATATTCTCTTGATAGGTTGTGAGATTCCATCTCTTTGCATACTCATATTATATGCGGTTCTTGTGCGCATGAGACAACTTTTATTATAAGTACTCTTCTCTTTCGTCTTTTTTGTATTGTCGAATCGAATTGATATCTTAATTTTGCGTTGGATTGTATAAACAACGCCTCGGAAAGCTTAAGCAACACTTAAAGATGGGGGAAAATAATGGTTAATGGTTAAAATAACGACATTCACATCCCAATTGCAATGCCTATTCTCGGGATATGTCAATAAGGCATAGTTACTTATCTCTAGACTAGACTAAAGAGGGAGCGAAGTTTAATTATTGGTAAAAATAGGCATCATCATCCTATTTTAGGTTAATGGGGGTCCTTGGGATCACGTGGGAGCCAAGAAAGATGACCAATTGTGTCTTCTTTGTTCATTTCTCTCTCGTGCCAATTTAGTTTTGCCCAATCGTTCTAATACTACATGCAATGATGCAAAGATTAAGGCAGCTGCACATGCAATAGATATATAGGGATCCATGCGCTCCGCCCCTTATGCCATATCCCCATCATTAATCTACAATTTTGATGCACTTAACAATGTGGTCCTTCAGCCTACTACTTCTACCACTGCTAATATCATATTAATGGAGCGCTAATCCAAAATGCAAACCAGTTTGCACGTATTGTTTCAAGGTTCAAATGTACGTTTAATTTTTAGAAATTTCAAATTACGGTTTTAATGTGATATGTTTTCACTGGAAGTCAAATTGCAAACAGGATCTCTCCCATTGGGGAAAGAATTTTCACTCAAGCCTGCAAAAATTGCATACCAAGGCCAAATGTACAACCTGATTAAAGAAAAGAAAAGAAAAGAAAAGAAAAGATATACAAATTGAAAAATTAGCTTCGTCACGTCAACTGTACGTATATAATGGATGACTTAATGAGACATAAATTCAAAAATAAAACATTCAATGACAAAAATCTCGTTGATCCCACACCCTATATCTGTTCTGTTCAGCAATACATGTGTTTCTGTAGTAGTAAACTTGTTTGCTGGTCGTGACATCATCATGTAACCAAACCAAATGATGGTTGGTTGCAAAGGCAAAAACGACGCAATGACCTGAACCTATACAAGAAAGACACCATAACTGGTATTCCCACGATAAGAACATGTGTTCATGCAGCATGCAGCTTTGAATTATAAACTTCACATTTTTCAACTTCCTATCCCACCTTACAACACGTATTTATGGATGGGGGCTACAACCTTTCTATCTTGTAATCTACCGCAGAAAAGCTTAGCCTGCACACATCAAAATAATGATACAATCTTTCTCGTTTGCTGCGTAGGACCTTGACATGACAGCAAGACAGGCGAGTTCCAACAAGTCCATCATTCATTTCGGATGGAATAATACTTGTCCGAGAGTGTTGGAGATTTTGAGATTTCATTCATAAGGTTCTTGAACTTAAGGCTGCAATCTCCACCACTGCAGGATAAACAAATATAACAAAGCAGTAGAAGATTCATCAATGTCAAAACAAACACATGCACGCAAAGGAAAGCAAAATACTGGAGAAAGGAGGTCTGATTAATCCAAAGACCTAATTCAATCCAACCTCTTTACCACCTAGCCAAGGACCACAGTTATTTCTGATTTACTTAATCACTCCAGTCTATAGAGGACGAACAAATGCACACAAGAATTTCATGCAGAACCTACATCAGGACATAGATAAAAGGCAAAGGGTGAAACCTTATACGATGCAAGGATGCAATTGCTCTAAGAGCGCTGCGAATCATATCTTCATTGCGATCTACTTCTTGCTTGACAGCATCTTGCTTTGGCTTAAAGTTAATAGTTTTTTGGAGAGGATCCACCAATGAGTCCAGCACTGAAGGACAGAAAATTTTACATTACTTAATAAACTGCAGAAGATCTGAACATTAGGGGGGGGGGGAGGGAATCAGTAAATTAACTGACCAGCCAGAACGGCAGATGGACACTTGTCCGCAAGCTTTGAGAGGATAAGATGGCAAGGCATCTTAACATCATAATGATCTGGAAAAGAAAAATCCAATTCAGTTAGGAAGGTAATAAATTTAACAAGCACCACATGTTAACCATACATCTTCAAATTTGCATAAACCAAAACTAAACTCACCGTCCAAACCAGATCTAAGATAAGGAACAATAAAAGATGAAGGGTTCACTTGATCAAGACAACTGTCCAGCAATGTGTCCACACATTCAAATGCAGCCTTCCTTAACTCAAGCCCATCATCCACAATGTGCTTAAAAGGACCAAGATCAACTGTCCTGATCAATTCTTTCTGCATCCAGAATTTTCACGTTAAATAAGATAACTCAAGACTAACACAGGAAACAAATTAACGAATGATAGAAGGTGGTGTTGCGTAAAACATAGAGCACAGCAGTATTAATACCATGAATGTCCTATCTTCTGTAAAGGCACTCTATATCATAACATCAACTGCATAACAAAGAGATAAACTTCAAAACACTCAACCAACCTTGATGACAGTTTGGTCATAAAG